TAGTGCGATGTACATGTGTCGGATGGGCCCAGCTTTCCAAGAACCCATTGATGATGATGATTCCACTGCTGATGAGGAGGATGGCTCGAATGAGGATGCTTCAGACGATGTTGGCCCTGGAGATGATGATACCGATGTGGGTGATGGAGATGGTGATGCAGCCTCAATGGTTGTGGATTTTGCCACAAATATGGCAACCCGTTGATTTGAAGCACGTGGTCTAGAGGTCGTAAAGGACTTCTCTTTTACCTTTTCACTTTGTTTTACTTTTCATACTAAGGAAAATGTTTTGTTTTAAGTGTGGGGTGGAAGTTGAACTTCATTCTATATAGTTTACTGCTTTATCAAGTCTTTTTAATTTTTTAGGAGGGTTCCTCGGCTTTTGTTTTCGGTTCTTTCCTGAGGATAGTCCCATTGGACCGACTAGGAATAGTTTGCTTATTTTTGTTGAGTGTTAGAGTCGGTATAGGAGTGACAGTTCCCGATGATGGATGGATGACGGTCGTCTTAAGGGAAAATTAGTCACTAGGAGTAGAGAAGCATGAAACCGACCTTTTTGGGTACTTTCAAACCTTGTCTTGATAGTTGCCTAGACGTCATGGGTGGTAACACTTTGGTTGCAATAGTAAGATGGTGACCTTGAAAACAAAAATAATATCTTTGTCTTGACTCTAAATGAAAAATAAAGTATATGGGCTTAATTGTGTGGAAACACCGTAATGCATTTTCTATAAGCATGCTACAAGTGTTTGTTTCCTTATAGTTGTTATGATGCCATGTGGGGAGAGTACTTGCGTAGTTTTTGCATTGAATAACATCTAGAAGTTGCATCAAATGTGTGTGTAATGTGTAACTTGTGTGATTTATGGAATATGATTGAGGCATTTCTTTGAATAGCCAAGTTTAAATCTTTTTGTGTACCCCCAAATAAAGTATCCCTTGTATTGCCCCATTGAGCCTTTTAGCCTTGATTTTGTTCTAACCTACTTAATTAAGCTAAATCCCTTTTATTGATACCATTAGTTTTGATCTCAAAGTAATCCTTAATGCACTATGTTAAGATGAAAAAGTGAAAACAATGATCAAAGTGAATAGGGTGAAAATGTTTGGTTTTGTGGTGAAGAAAGAAAAGAGGTAGAAGAATGATGCCCCATAAGTTCCTAAATCTGTGATTGGCCCTGGTACTTAGACATTATGCACTTCGACTAAGGTTAAAATCCTAAGTTGAAGGTGGCTAATTTGAAAAATACCTTAATAATGGCTCTGGTACTTACAAGGACAATGTGCACCTTAATTCGGGAGAAACCCATAAGTTGAGGGTGGTTATTGTTAAGTGTGAAAAAAAGAAGAGAAAAAGGGGTGTGTACAAAATAAGGGTTCAAATGAGGGCAAGGTTTTAAGTTCAATTGGGAAAATATGTATGAGGGGGATCAAAGGGAAAGAAAAGGTTGTGAATGTTAGCAAGAAAAAGCAACACATGTGCATTAGGGAGGATGAGTCACTAATATTACCCATATGTATCCTCCCTTATCTAAAGCCGACATTTCATCCGAATAAAAGTCCTCCTAATTCTATGAGTAACACTTTGCGAAAATTAAAGTACACTAAGGGCAAACTTATGGCATGTTAGGATATATGAAAACTTCATTTGTGAGTGTGAGAATGAATTTTACAAAAATGAGCCTTATGATTGAAATACAATGGTGTTTGTGCGAAAGAAATGCTATACTTAAATTGGTTAAGGCATTCATGTCACATGTTTGGTGCATACTCTTGTTTGGTGTGTCGATATTGCATTAGCGCAAAATTATTGAAGAAGAATCGTTCTTTGAGGATCTGAATTGTTGATTGGTAAACAGTAAGAAAGAATGGAAATTATTGCATATAGTGTGTGCCACAAGAACATGATTAAATATGTTTGGCCGATTGTAAACCAAGGTGAGGAATCCAAAGGTTAAGAGTGTGATTTGATAAGATAGAGTTTGTTCGAGGACTAACGAATGTTTAAGTGTGGGGTGGTAATCTTGGGCATATTTATATGCCCAATTCCTACTAATTACCCATCTTTTAACATAAGTTTAAGGACATTCACTTATCTAACTAACATGTTTGACTTAGGATTGCGATGATTACATACTAATATACATGATTAGCTATTTTGCAGGGTTCCTTAGAGAAGTGATTGAATTATGGAAGGAAAGGAATCAAGGACGACAAGTGACGCCCATAAAAAGAGTCGGTGTGGCGCCCCAGCATCACTAGCGCAACAAGGGCGCGATGCGCCAGGCCCAAAGTACAGAGACACAATTTTGGCGCACTGGCAGCGCGATACGCCAGCCTACCAGGCGCGAGTTGGGAGTGACGCCCCAAGGCAAAGAGGACGTTTTGGCGAAAGTTAGATTTAATTATGATTCCTTCTTGGGCTAAATTTGGAAATACTTTTCCTAAACTCCATAAATAGGACCTAGGTTTGTTTTGTAAGGGGTTTCACTACTTTTTGGTGTGCAAGAGCAAGAATTCAGGTTTTGTAATAGGTTTCGAATTTGTAACTCTATTTTATTTTGGAAATCGCATGAACAATTATATTTTGCAGTTTTTGAATAGTATGAGTGGATAAGCGCCCTTGTTCGGGGGCTGTAGCTATAGATTGATTGTTAAATATTGAAGGCTTTGAATTAATTCGTTATCGATTTAAGTTACTTATATATTCTTGTTTAAGTATTTTATGCTTGATCTCCATAGAAATAAATCTCTTGACTATTCTTAAAATCGAGAGAGGATAAGGTAGATAGACCAAAGAATATAACAAGCTTGATCTTCCATTGAGTTGATTTGTGTTTAGGAGTGACGCCCAGACGAACAACTAGCTTAGTTATGAAACAGGATGAAATATAAATGCTCGCCAACTAGGACTGCCTATCCCCACTCAACGATGTAGTTAAACAGCTAATTCGAGTAGGTGACTAGAGGTCGAGAGACCCGACTCATACAATTAACCCTGTAAATCAGTAACTTGATAACCAAAATTAGTTCATTGCCTAAGATACGATACATGAAATCCAATGCATGTTGCAGCCCTGGAAATGTCTTTTACTTGCTTGAAACATCAATTGGAAGTCATTCACAGTAGTTACTTTTATTTATTGCATAAGTCGTAGTAGTATAATCAACCTCCAACTCCTTTTTAAGTTACTTTTGTCGAGTTGTGGAATTAAGTTACTAAGTATAAGTTGATCATAAGTCCCTTGGGAATGAAAACTTGTTTCTAAAGAAACTATGTTACTTGAGCGACCGCGTACACTTGCGTGTATATTTGGGAGCAACAATATCCAAAATCATTCCCACACTAAAGAATTTACCTAGCACATATGGTCAATTTAAGAATCACCCGATACGACCTTATATGTAAATGAAAAATAGTTCGGGTCTTAACTTAGAAAGTTTTGGAGTGTGACATTATTATTATTATTATTATTATTGTTATTATAATAGTAATTTTAATAATAATAATAATAATAATAGTTATAATAATAGTAATATTATTATTATGAATAATAATAATTATTATAATAGTAATAATAATAATAGTTATAATATTAGTAATAATAATAGTAATAGTAATGGAAACAATAATAATAATAATAATAATAATAATAGTTGTAATAATAATAATAATATTAAAGTAAATATTTAATTAGATATTAATTTCAATGAAGTCAAAAAGTTATTACACATTTATATAATTAAAATGATACAATTTAATATTTAAATAATTAGATATTTTATATGATTTTAATTTATAATAGGAGTAAAATTGTAATCCAACTTTTAACCTTGAGGTTTCCAACTTTTAATAGTAATATGATATGATATCAGATATGATATGGGTCTATTCGTTATAGATATGATCATATAGCTGCAAATAATAATATTTTACAACTATAATTATATATCATAAATACATAGCACATATATACTATTATCATATAGTTTCCCCCTTCTTCTTCTTTTCTTATCACCTCACTATGATCAATTAATGGGGAGTTAGACCTTTGGTGCACGTTTTCTTAGGATTAGGTTCTATTTTTGTTTTGTTTATTATTGTAGTATCATTTAGGCTATGCTTTCTTTACCCCACACAAAACTGATGTCTCTTGCCCCGTTCCTATTTAATCTTCACCTTAAGTTGATTTAGTCTATACTAAGTGAATTGTTGATATATTTTTTTATAGTTTAGAACGAGTTATTCAAATTCATGAAAATTGTTCAATTTATTTTTTCACTTTTACTCTTCATTTATGAGTTTCTTAACTACTTTACATTTTCTAAAGAATAGTCCTAAAATAATAATAAAAGTAATTGTGGAAAGTAACTTTTAATTTATACCCTTAAATATATATTTTTTTCTTAAATAATGTGTCATACTCTAAGAATTCACTTAATATGGACTATAGGGAGTAATAACCAGCTAATTAATTCTTGAGTAGGGTCATTACACAAAGTTGTCTAATTTTAGTAATTAATTAAATTTGAGACCTTGTGCGCGCTACTATAGAAAAAAGGAATTAACCATGGATAATGTTTAGTAGGTAAACAACAAAAATCTCGTGTTAATTCCATTTAGCTAAATAAATTTAGCTATGAATTAATTAAAGATTACAGAAAAATTCTGATATGGGATATATTGATATTTTGAGGATATGGGATTCCCTAACATTATGAATTGAATAAGTCCTCTTCTAGCAATGTCCTTATAGAAAAAATTAAATAATTTGTATTGGGATTCCATATGCAAGTTGGTATTTGGGAATAAAGTTTGGAGCATTTTTGAATGGGCAAGTGTTAGAGATGACTACCACAAAATGTGGGAGAAGCATGAGATGCCTTTTTTATCTTATTAGAATCATCAATTTATTCAGTCTTGGGATAATAGTCATAAGTCCTATAAATTTGACAAACTTGAATCAACATTTTCATAAGCAACCCTCAAATCATCCAAAATGGGTCTCCAAACTGATATATTTCCTTCTCATGGCTTCAAGCAGCAGCATAGCTACTATGACGATAACGACTACTACTCCTCGGAGGATAATTATTACAGCAACAATGGCTCAAGCATGCAAATGAAGAAGCCTTATGGTTATCCCACCACTACTCCAACCCAAAATCATCACATGATGATGAGCCATGCCGGCTATAGCCACGATGGGAACATGTCTCATGATTCTGCTAACATTTCCAGCTATGGATCAAGTGGAATGCAACACTCTTCCAACATTAACGGTGGCTATGGATCAAGTGGAATGCAACACTCTTCCAACCCGAACGGTGGCTATGGATCAAGTGGAATGCAACACGCTTCCCACGCCAATGCTGGCTATGGAAGTGGAATGTATGGAAGTGCAATGCAACAATCTTCCCACATGAACGGTGGCTATGGAAGCGGAATGCAGCATGCTTCCCACATGAGTGGTGGCTATGGAAGCGGAATGCAACATTCATCCCACATGAATGGTGGCTACGGCAGTGGAATGCAACACTCTTCGCAGATGAATGGTGCTTATGGGGGTGGGATGCACCACTCTTCACACATGAATGGTGGTTATGGAGGTGGGATGCATGAATCTTCCCACACACATATGTCCAGGGGTGTAGAGAACGATTCCGATAGGAAGCCTGGTTACTATGAACAGCATAACAATAATACTGATCATATGTGGAACATGAAGAGTTTGAATGACTAAATCCCCAAAAGTGTTTTGTGTAAGGTGGAACTATATATGGGTGTTTTGGTTGAGTCTTTGGCTATCTTATATTACAAAGGCCTAAAACCTAAATAATGAATCTAAACAACCCTGCTACTATGTACTCATCCATGTATTACTTACTTTTTTATACCCAAAACTATGAATAATTTGAATTAAATGTATTACTGTTTTTTGATAAAGTCATTTCCATCTACTTTTACGTACTATTCGTGGGCTTATTTCGAGTTGCCTCATTTTCATTTACAAGTTCAAACTAGGAAATAGATGAAAAGTGTTGGCAGAAAGGCATAGATCTTCCCATTTTCCTAAAACTTGCAGCCGATTATTATCACAACTATTGCGGTTAAAATGGGCTAATAATTTTTATGAAAAATACATAACTAGCATATCTACTCAATCCAGCTATAGTTTTAAGAAATAACATAACTCAACGAAGATTTCTTTTTTCCTAGAAGAATCCTATAGTACTCTCTTCTATCTATCCCCTCTGTCTCTCTCCCTCTCTTTTCTCTCAACGGTAACCCTTCTTCATCAAATCTCCACCAGTAAAGAATCATGGATGTGTACACTTCTCCAAATAAAAAATATTATCACCCTCATCATCTTATTCATGTATCGATCTCCAACTTCAAGAATTTGCAGATCCAATTTTCAAAATTTGCAGATCCAATTTTCAAATAAAGTTCAGATCAAGTTTAGGTTTTCTCAGATCTACAGAGTTTGGTTAGGAATTGAAATAAATTATTTATGAATTCATATAGAGGAGAGTAATAGGAAGAAGTAGTGAAATTTTGAGACTATTTGGAGATGGTGGATTGATGGCGGTTGTTTGATTTTTCTCAGATATACGGAGGTTGGTTGGAGGAAATGACTTGTGTGTTCATGTAGAAGAAGATGCATGAAATAGGTGGTGAAATTTTGGGGGCATTTTGGAGGTTTTTGGGGAGAAGTCCAGTGTTGGTGGGCTATCAAGCCCCGAGACTTCCCCCTAGACGCGACACGGTACTGAGAGCCATAAGTTATTCCAAGCTAACCTTATGGCATGGTATGATAGTAAGATTTACAAATTAAGAACTGAAAAGCGGAAGATAACTGGAACAGGTCTATCTAAACAAACATAAATAGAAAAATATCTAGGTACGCATGAGCAAAATCTAATTAACTGTCTGAAAAGTCTCTACTAATATTGGGTTGCTAAGAAGATCCCCTAGATAACTCTAAAGTTTGAAAACTGAAAGGAATATAAGGGGTTATCATATAAATAGAGACTTGTTCCTTCTAACTTATTCGGCATTCACAATGTAGTCATATGGGCATTGAGAGTTTTGGTTAGAGGGAGAATTTGTGGGACACAAGTGATACGTATCACTTGTGTGAACCTCCTTATATTTCGAGTGAATTGATTGAGATTATTTCTCTTTATATTTTCTACTCTCGTGTTTATATAGTGAATTGTTCATCCCCTTTGTGGACGTAGGTCGATTGACCGAATCACGTTAAATCTTTGTGTCTTATGGTGTATTTCTTGTTTGTCTTCCTACTCGTGGTTTTTCAAGGTTTGTTTTATTAGCTTCTGCATAACACCTAATTCTTTTTCGATTATCAGAGCCAGGTTCAATGATGGAGACAGGATTAGTGGTTTGATAATCGATGGTTGAACCAGGTTAAAAATCGGGTGTTCATCTTAGCGGGTGTAGTTCTAGCCGCAACCTATTTTGATAGTAATGTTGATTTTTGTTGGAGAAATTGTTTCAGAGAAGTTCTTTGTATTGAGACATAGATTTTGCATAGGAGATTATGAAGATGAGATGCAACTTGTTGAAGATTATTTGAAGAAGATGGACAAATTTATTTTGTCTGAAATACAGGCCAAGGGGGAGATTTGTTAGGTATTAATTAACTTGAGTTTCTTACCATAAATAGGTTTTCGTCAAGGAAAAGGTTTAGGATTGACTAGTCTTTTCCTTGTAGAAAAAGGTTTAGAACTCGATAAATATTGGTTTGTTCCTAATAACTTAATCATCATTCACAATGTAGTCCTAGGGTCTTTGAGACTTTTGGTTAGGGAGAGAATTTGTGGGACACAAGTGATACGTTATCACATGTGTGAACCTCCCATCTATTCCGAGTGAATTGGCTGTAGTTATTTCTCTCTATATTTTGTACTCTCATATTTGTATAGCGGATTTCTCATATCTTTTGTGGACGTAGATTGATTGACCGAACCACGTTAAATTTTTATGCCTTTTGATATATTCAATTTCTCGATTGTCTTGTTACTCATGGTCTTTCGAGGTTCGCTTTCTTAGTTTTCGTATTACACCTAATTATTTCAGTCCTAACAAGTGGTATCAGAGCCAGGTTCAATGATGAAGTCGGGTTCAATGATGTATCTAGGTTCGATGGTTTAATAATGGAGCTAAGTTTAGTCGTTCGATAATCGATAATTGAACGCGGGTTAAAAATTGGGTGTTCATCTTGGCGGGTATAGTTCAAGGTGCAAATATTTTGACAATAATGATGATTTTGTTGGATAAATTGCTTCAGAGAGGTTCTCTATTTCAAGACATAGATTTGATGGAGGATATTATGGAGAGGAGATGCAAGTTGTTGAAGTTTATGTGAAGAAGGTGGACAAATCTATTTTGTCATAAATTCAGGCAAAGGGGGACATTTGTTGGGTATTATTTGCCCTGAGTTTCTTACCAAAAATAAATTTTTCTTTTAGGAAAAGGTTTAGGAATGCCTAGTCATTTTCTTGTAGGGAAAGATTTAGTTTAGGTCTCTATAAATAGAGCCTTGTTCCTTCTAATTTAATCGGCATTCACAATGTAGTCCTAGGGGTTTTGAGAGATTTAGTTGGGGGAGAATTTGTGGGACACAAGTGATACATTATCACTTGTGTGAACCTCCTTTTATTCCAAGTTGGATCACCGGGATCAAATAAAGTAAAATTCACGAGGGAATATGTATTTAATCTTGGTGGAGGAGCAGTCTCTTGGAAATCTCCCAAACAGAAATATATCGCTATCTTTACAATGATCTCTGAGCTTGTTTCTCTAGATAAGATCGGTGAATAAGTTGAAAGACACCGGAATTTGATAGATATTCTATTTTTGATGTGGAACAAGAAGATAAAAATAAAAAAGAAATTAAAAAAAAGATAGATAAAAGAGATAGACACAATTAAATTCAAGCAACTAAGAGATATAATGGTGAAACTAACCAAAAACACCACTTAATTGAAAAATAAAAGCACCTAATCTATTAGAATCCTCAAGAAAGTAATAACCTTACTTGCAAATTCTAGGACAAAATGTTGAAGTTCAACAAAGGGCTTCCAAACTCTCACAAGAGGCATAACATGTCCAAAAAAAAACCTTATGAAACCCTACTATCTATTATTTATACTAAAAACTAAAATAGTGAAGAAAGACTCAATTGACCTTCATTAAAATTACAAGGTAATTAAAATGGTAGAGCACTTAATATATTAAATGTCTTCAAGTCTTCCATGTTGGAGCCTTCCAAAGGTTTCATCTTCATCCATAAAGCTAGCAATGCTTGAAGGTCCTTAGTTTGACTCCTTGTGAAAGGCCTCCTTGAAGTAGTGTCACTTTGATCTACATCACACTCCCCTTCTTCAAAAGAATTCATCCTTGAATTCGCCTCACCTTCATCAAAAAGCAATAAATCACTAACATTGAAAACATTATGGACCAAATACTCACTTGGTAAGTCTACTTTGTAAGCATTATCCTCAATCTTCTCAAGCACTTGAAAAGGTCCATCTCCTCTTGGTATAAGCTTGTTCTTCCTTTTGCTTGGAAATGTTTCCTTCCTAAAATGAACCCGTTGTTGACACCCAATTTTGACCCTCCCCGATAAGAATTAATCATCGAGCTTCCTAAATTCCATACGATTCGAAATAATTGATTTTATAAAAACTCAAAATATGTTTCAAGAGATTTTAAAGAATTTTATTCACTTTTATGATATTTTAAATATCTCAAATGATAAATATGTTTATATTGTTACGTATGTAACTAATATATTTTACAAATACTTGAAAACTATCTTGAAAATATTTCATTTATTTTTAACGTTAAACACTTTACTAATTTAATTTAGTCCGAATTATAGGTATGTTTTTGAATTAATTAGTTTGATTAAGTTAATTATTTTATTTTGTTAAATTTAAGAAGCTTGTAATTAATCTTGTTTAAATTCATCTCATCTAGATTTTAGCCGAATTTGCAAATTAGTGAGGCAATTTGGCTTATCTTCTTTTTAATCTAAGTTAATCAAATCCAAAATGGGCCATCTTCAACCAATATTTAGTAATACAGAAATCAGCCCCTCCAAACCAAATTTTCAGCAGCCCATTATTTTCCATTTCCCTTAATTCCCAGCCCTTTGCTCCAACTAAACCAACCCAATTTCCCCCAAATTTTTTTCCCTTTCTCTTCCAGCCCAACTACCCTTGACCCGGCCCACTTTCAATCCAAAAGAAGACCCAATACATTCAGCATACATACAGCAACAGTACCAAACGACTAGACCCCTATACGTCTTCTTCTTCGTGTGCAAGCAAGCAGCAACTCAGTACTGTTCCAGCAGTACGATTCCAGCAACCAGGCACACATTTTTTGTCCTTGTTAGTGTGAGATCGCTCCACGTTGCTCGCCAAGGACATGGGAATCGATCCTAACCGTCCGTCTACCCTTTCCTCTTCCGGAAATGGTCTGAATTTCTCAGGAAAAGGTGTCTCCCCAAAAGGGTGAAAGTTTTTTCGATTTGAAATTCCTAATGGGCCTTATCCCTATGGGATTTCTTCCTTTTCCCCCAAAAAAAAATAACCTAGTTTTCTTCTATATATTCTCTCATTTATTCACCGAAAAAAGGGACGGATTTATTAGAAAAAAATACATAGAGCAACTCAAGAAAAAAAATTTAGTTAAAAAGTCATATTAAAT